CAGTAACTGGAAAAAAGATATGGCAATAATAATTGTACGTACACGTTGCCCTGTCCCCACTAAACACCAAACCTAACAGTTACATAACTTAAAACTAACTATTGCATAATACTACTATTACATAACTTAAAACTAACTGTTAGGTTTGGTGTTCAGTGGGAATTCATCGTCAAATGTCATAAGATTAATATATGTCATATTTTGTTTACTACTCGTATGAAAAAATGTGATTTTAATTCGTACGCGCATATACATTATCAGTAATTGTTTGCTAGTCGAATGAAATCATAGTCTTTATTTAAAATCAGATAGTTTATCATTCGCNTAGAAAAATATTATGAAAATACATGGAGCTAATATTATATAAATATTATAGAGATAATATTCTAAAGTAAACGTTTTGCAAATATTTCAAACGTCTGGTAAATATTTACAAAATGTACGATATTCGTTAAATATATAGAAAATATAGGACAAATATTTTGTGCTACTAGGGTTTATTCGGAAATTGTACATTTGCCGTCGTCGAAACATAACTTAATTACCAATTTCAGCGATGAGGGTCTTCTCGAACAACTTCAGAAAACGAATCTTTCCGATTAGAGTCGGTGGTTGAGATTTCAGAGTATTATGGACCTTCTTCAACATTTCGACCGGTAAAAAATCCAGGAATCCTTTTTCATTTTCCCGCTCGGTCTTATTTCCATGACTTTCCTCGTTCTCCGACTTCGGGGTAGTTTTTTCTTTTACCATAGAAGGGTTCTCGGAAGTCGTCTCGAAATCCTTGTAATAAGATTCCAAAGTTGCAAATTCGTTTGGTGAACGCGTTTGTGTATAATCATTACTGTCCATTTCGTCGACTACCGTATCGTCATCGTCTTCATCTTCGTCATTATTTTCAGCCCTGGAATCTTCTTGGACCTCGGCTGATTCTTTTTCATCGGGTAAAATTGTAGTTCCTGATGTGTATAATGCAAAAGGGGCAGAAGTACTCGTCAAGATCATCACGGGATGTTTAAATTCGCTGACATTGCGCAGATCGAACTGTGAACTTCCTTTGTAGTCGTTTAATAGAACCTTGTGAATCGGTTCATTGTCCTTTTTGTCATTTTGAGTTTTCCATGAGTTTTCTTTGTTGGAGAAACTTGTAGTCGATAGTGAGGACTGCAGAACAGGTCGAGTACCTGCCAAGTGCGATCTGTCGTATTTAGAAATTTGTTCCTCCACTTTCCATCTATCGTTGTCAAATTTGTTGGCCTTTTTCGTATCGAAACTCGGAACGATTTTGTATTCGTCCAATGAAAATTTGTAAGAGTGGTTGTGATTTATCGTCGGTGGCATTCGGTAAACTTTTGATCCTCCGGAAAATTGAGGGACTTCTACCCACTCTCCTTTAATGATATCAATATTCAGGTGTAACAAAACAATTGTTAAAAGTATGGACGCGATCATTGCGTTTCGTGACGTGCACATTGCAGTACTCTATCGTAAATCACTTTTAACTTAGTGAATATCCTTTATACTATAGAAGTATAAATGGACGTCAAGTAACATTTATCCAATGATAAACATTATAAAACACTTTTTAAATGTGAACAATTAATGGTCATTTCGGAACACATTCAGTTATGTATAATAGTTTTCACGGTTAATATTGAAGTGTTCCTCTCCTTTTTTGATACACAATATTAATTACTAACGCACTAAGGCACTGATTACGAATTGTATTTTCTTTTTCATTAGTATTTTCGATGTCGGAGCAGAATTCATTTCAAATGAACGTTTTCGATGAAAGTTTTAGGACGGCAAAACTGGCAGAAAATGAGATTAATTCTGAATAAAAAAATCGTCACATCGTTTATTTTGCAAAACACTAAAACGTGATTATGTGTATGAAGTGGAAATTAATTAAGTATATAAATGTATTAACAGAACGGGATAAGCAACGATAATATCCTCAAATGGAGCACTGGTTCTTCGTCATGGATGCTGTCTAATTCGAATGCAAATTGCGTACTGACGAACTAAATTCAAACAGGAACTGAGTTACTGGCGACAAGACACGCACGGAAAAAAGCAATTATTTCGAGCAGAAGGTTCAGTTAGATTCTGCGGAGAAAATAGTGAAAGACACGTGGATGTGTTTTTTGAGGGCACCTAGTTAACGAGGCTCAACGTTTGCCGAATTAGACCAATTTTGCTACTTAAGTAGTTTCCGGACTTCCGTGAATATTAATTAGAGATTTCCTTGCAATTTACTTGCATTTCCTCCAAGAGTGATAAGTAAATATAAGTAAAACTGCTTCACATGGTACTACTATAAAGAATAATGTCGCATATACATTTTTAATGATAAAGGGGCAAGCGAGCATTTATTAGATATTGTTTGCCAACATTGCAGGTACTGCTCCTGTAATTGCTATTATTTATACGATGAATGCCATTCAATCATTTGACCGAATTGAAGGAACTGAGAGAAGATGTAGATTTATTACTACTGCAGAGCAGTTAAATTAATATTTACATTAACTGCAATGTGGTAGCGTGTAAATAAGAATTGATTGTCTATTATTTTCTTAACGGAGAAAGGAATAACGCATTGTGATTCGATTACATTAATTTATAAACTTTGTAGTAATGTGTGAAAATGATTTAATATAGTTACAATTTCTGTCACGAGTTAACGTTTTCTTTTGACTACGGCTATTACAATGGAAATAAAAAATACTTTATGAATACTTTTCGTGCCTTTCCACCAAGAGATGGGTGTAGAATTTCTTTCCTTGTGCTTAACATTAGCAATCTTAAGTCTAAGTAATACTGTAAAAGTCGTAGATAATTTAGTTGAGATTTGAAGAATAAAACACTTAATCCTTGCTCGACGTACGAAGGATAAAATATTAACGATTAATATCATAAAATATCGAATAGAAACACAAATTTAAAATACACCATGAAATGTGCATTTCCCCGGAATATGCCTCTTGTCATAGTTAAATGCGCTTTATCTATTAATGTATTTAACAGCAATGAACGTAGAAAGTAACACCAGAAACACTTGGTAATAGTTACTCAATTCATATCATTTTTATAATGATATTTCCAGAATATATTACTTCATTCACTATTATAACTATAATAAGTATTTCGTAATATACCTCTTACGCAACTATTTGTTCGATAAAAGCTTTTCTTTAATAAATGTTTCGCAACGCATTCGCGATAAATTATGTTTTATATAAAATGTAATATCAACAATTTCTCTTTTACGACACTATTCCGAGGACAATACAGATTTGTCGCATTAAATATGTCAATGCAATTCAGAATTAATTGAGTGAAGATATGGAAATGTCTTTATACAGTTGATACTCAATTTTCCGTATTTTCAATAATATAACAGTGATATTTCAGTACTTCGTGGTAAAGTTCGTAATATGGATAACACTTTTTCTCGACTATTATAATTGTAAATTACGAGTAAGTGCATTGCTGGTGACAAGAAGCACATAAGGAAGTTATTTAAGGTGGAAATAAATGATTAATTACATAATAGTTCTTACGTCGAACAAAGACTCTATCAGTTACTATTTCACAACAGTGACCACCATTAGAGAAAATCTAGCTTTTTTGGGACATTTACATACAACTTTCCCTGCCTACTTCGAGGGATTTTTTAGGCCATTAATGCGCTGATAGTTTGCATTTTAAGTATTACATAGTGCAATTCCGATATAACTTGACAAGAAAAAAATAGAAATGTATTAATTCATCAATGTGCGGTAACGGAACATTATTTTTCTTTTCTGCCTATATTATTTTGAGTGATTCAAAAAGTGCACGTTTTTTAAATCGCTAAAAATATTGAAAATATTAAGCGGACATGAAAGAGTCTCATATATATCTGAGAGGTCAAATCGTTAGTGAAAGTATTTTCCGAATTGGGTGTATCGATTTGTTTCAAATTTTACCACGGGAATACGGAGGCCTTAAAGTTGGTCCTAAAACTCACGAAATGTCATTTTTCATCACAAAATTGATTTACTTATCATGGACTCTAACCAACATGGCGTGGTCCGTGCCCGTTTTCGTTGTTTTGCGCTTCTTGGAGGCTTAGAATCGAAAATGAAGAGTTCCAGGACCTAGCTGGAATAATTAATAATACCGTAGAAATGGAATGTTACGAATGAATCTTAAGGCGTTGTATTCAAATAATGTAACGCCTTGCTTGGTATGGTGTAATATAAACGCGTTCGTTTTGTACACGAGGGATCTCATTGCACTATATCTTACTTGAAACTGTATTTTCAGCTACCTGAGTTATCCACAGGAAGGATCCCAAATCTAAATTATTTTTAATCTACATGTTGCACGCATTGGGAAACCTCGAAACCTTTATATTTGGACGCTTTAAACTTCTACGGATGTTATTACCGAGGAAAAGTACACAATACAGACCGAAAAGTCGAGAATTGAAGCGAATACATATGCTGTTAAACGATACGCTTGAATGCTATCAAGTGGTTTGTTTGTTACTTTACGCGATGTATTTGTGCGTTTACGTTCTGGAAGACTAACAACGCACTTTTGCCTAACGTTATAAATACTAACACATTAGCTAAGCACTAAGCAAACATTTTCAGTCAAGTAACTAGCCGTAATTACTTCTATTTTACTCTTGCGTATAAAATGTTTCTATTGAGCATGTTTAAAACTTTGCTACGTACGCGAACAAGCGGAATGCGTTCTAAAATGAACACTTCAGTGATGGATTGCTTGATGATTTATGCGCAAAGACGGAATGCAATTTTGCAAGTCGATGTCTTTGTTAAAAAGCTACTAACTTTTAACAACTCTCCCTATGAAGAATAACAGGTTCTTCTTTGTATGACGATGTACCGAAATGTATCATCACATTCATTTATATAAGTAATAGTATAAACTGTTAAAAACGTTAAGGTTATTGTAATTCAGGCGTAACAAAAAATTACACAACGTAGTAAAATATAAAAATAATATATTCTGTAAAAATGAAAACACGTAAATAACACAGGAATATTATGGAATTTAGCAGTGCCATAACATAATGTACAAAATGTTTTCTTGATAAAATCAGTATTTTATTTGTACCTGGTTTATTTTACGGATTTCATGTTTCGGATTCTGTGCAAGACATACACAGATTAATAGCTTTTCATTTTTTGTTATAAAATGAGATTTTTATCGTATGACTGTATGCGTACGAACGATATATAGAACTTTACAATAAATTAATTACGATAAAAGAATTACACAGAATATCTCCAGGCACAGATAAAATATGAAAAATATAATCTTTTTCACGTTGAGCCAAAACAGATCATTTTTCCACAAATACAGTTAATAGAAATAACAAATTAAATAGTCAAATAATTGACTGCCCATTTGTCTTAATATAATTAATAAATGTCTCGAATAGTATAAAATATATAATAAAATGAGTACGATTCATTAAAATATAATAGTAAATTAATCAGATCCCACAACCTTCGCTTATTAACTTATTAAAGATTTAAATATAGTTAAAACTCTGAATAAGTACTTAATCTCCTATGTTTGCGGAAGCAATTGGAACGTATTGCCTTTAAATAATACCTAAAATATATTAGTGTTGCAGCATTCTCTTATGTAAAGGCGTACTGAGAGATACTGTCGGTTGCATATTCTGACAATTGATCAGTAAATGCATTTTTGTTCAAAATTTACAATATGATCTTTCCTTTACTTGGCTGCATTGAATATTTACAGGGCTGTATTTTAGTAATTGAAGAAGAATTATTAGAAACAGTACGTTATATTATTGTCATATCGTACTTCTGAGTAGTAACCGAAGAATACCAAGTAGATCAATCAGCTCATAATGCTATTGTCTTCTTCTTATTAAGTATAAAACGCCAACAGGAAAAATACGTTTATACATGTAGAAATTATTTTGTAAATGAAAGTAATTTTTTGGTAGATAAGTATGTATGTTAATACCTAGAGCAAATAACTCATAAAAGAAACGATTTCCTGTAATTATTTACTGATGCACTGCAATTCTTTCAGTAATTTTACAGAAAGACGCAATTGTATTTATCTGATTAGCAACTTGGATTGGCTGTAAATTGGGTTAGTACGATCAAAATTTTGATGTTTAAATGCACGAATGTTTGTCTATATGTATATACATGCCTATTGCGTTAATTCAAGCACCTTATTTACTATAGTTATATATTATAAATTATAAGTATATGCACTCTGTGATGCTTTGAACTTCATTTTATCCTTAATGTACAGTATGCACACGACCTCGTGAAATGCTGGATTGAAACAAAAGGAAATGCATTAAATACGGTACCATTTAAGTGATGAATATAGGAATATTTACGGTGTACTTGTGCCACTGTCAGGAATTTTGTCTGTAAAATCGTTTACCAAGTATAAATCCCATATGACTATTCAAAGGCCTTAAGTAGTAATGATACTGAACAGTAAGTTAATATTAACATTTGTTAACATAAACTTGAAATTGTTATACATATTATAACATTTAAGTCACGTGAAAAAGTAGTATTAAGAAAATGGTAAAATAATAAGAGACGTCATAAAATGTAATAATCCAAACATGATCATTTCTCATATCTCTTGTAAGGATATATTTTGACTGTGTGGCACTTAATTTATAACCATCTTCTTTGCTGGCTCATAAAAATGGTTAACACTTTAACGACAGAGCACACTGACTGGCGTCCTAACCAAAATTGAGTAAAATCTTCCATCAATAAAGTGCTAATTTTAACATATTTTAATTAACTCCTCGATTGCAATCGTCGAATCAATGATATTCTACTCACTGGTACATTGCCCTTTAAGAAACACGTTCATCTTATCCCAAAAGTGTAATGAAAATGCTTAATCAATTTGATTAAAACGTACGTAATACGTTTCATGATTATTACAAACATTGCATAAAAAGTATACTGTCTCGTTTAGTGATGACCCATTATAGTACTTTTGTCATGCTTTACGCCCTTACTTATACCTTTCTTTTAGCATTAAGAGATATCTTTCAATTGTTTACAGACAATAAACAGAAGACGTTTCTTGGTCCTAAACCCGAGGTACGAGCAAGGGAATTAGTTTTCAAGTATTACAAGTATTTCTGAACGTTTGAATGATCGGTTGGTATGCCTGATTCCACCTCATATAACAAAGCATGTTCTTACTCTGCCGATCTCCGAAGAGAATACATCACTGCAGGTTTACAAAGATACTATAAATTAATTGTTCGTTAAACTCTCAACTAGTTGCCGTCTATCTAACTATTAACATTAGAAATTGGCAAAATCTCTAAATTTTGAAACGTAAAGCCTCACGATTCGGAAGCATTTTGAGAAAATATTTTCCGAATGTCTCGTAAAGGGCTATCTATAGACTAAGAGTAGTTACCATTTAAAATTCGTAACGATCTCAGATCACATATAGATTTACACAAGATTTTGGTGTATTTAGTGCCAACAGCTAGAGATTGGTACTAGTGTTTAAAATAAAGTAGTCTCTATGAAATGGGAGTATGAGTAACTAATCACAGTTCAGTGAGGTGTTCCCTTAAGTATTGATTCTTCAAGAATATTTCAGCTTAGTGGCGCATGGAACACATCTCGTAAACTTTTGCTTCGTCACGCGCGAATGAAACGCCGAAGAGTTGCACGCGCACTACGCGCCCAACCTTTATGCAATGAAGGTACTGTTGGTGAGGATTCAATTTTTATCGTAGGCGGATAGCTTTGTCATGCGTGTTGACTAGCGTAAGCCATCCAACGAGCATCATCGCTTTCATGTGTCAAATATCTAGTACCAACTTGAGCTTCCAGCTCCCTGAGATCGCACCAGGTTTGGTAGTCCTGTAGAAATTTCACATTTCGTTAGTAATCATAATCAACGAAGAATGTTTCGCGAAAAGCTTTAAAGGGATGAAGCTTACTTGTAACCAAACATGCTGCAAGCTCTTATCAACTGTATACCTCTTTCTCTGTTTGACTTGCAATAAATTATTGATCAGATCAATGGCTGTAACGATAGAAAAGGATTAAGGTTAAATTAATAGTTAAGCTTTCGATGCTATGGGATTTGAAAAATTATATGTTGAGTGAAAATACGGATGAAATAATTCCTATAATTTTCTTATAATTCTAACAGCGGGCAAAGTTTTCATCTAAGAGACGTCGATTTCTTACCATCTGAAGATATTTCTTTCCACGGATTGGGTGGATACATAAAGGCAGCATTCTGAATTTGTTCGTTAATGTCCTCGTCCTCGTTAAATGGGAATGTACCACTAAGTGAGACATATACGATGACACCAACGCTCCACATATCCAAAGAACGATTATACCCCTTGTTTCTTAAGACTTCGGGAGCTAAATAAGCAGGAGTGCCAACAACGCTTCTTCGGAAGCTTTTCTCTCCAATAATTCTGGCAAAGCCAAAATCGCATAATTTCACCTGCGTAAAGTCACTATTGCTACTTAACAAAACGTTCTCCGGCTTCAAATCACAATGTACAATGTTTTTGCTATGCAAATGTTTCAAGGCAACCAATATCTGAGTAATGAGGAACTTCGTGATTCTTTCGCTGAGGCGCCCCTTTACAGAACTTAGGATCATCTCTAGCATATCGCCTTTCAACTTTTCCATTACTACGAATATTCTCTCAGGCGTTTCGAACATCCTTTCCAAATTGACAACGCCATTGTGTGAGAGATTTTGTAGAATAGCAACTTCATTCTTAAGTTGTGCTTCCTGTTTCGTAGGAAAACGAAGTTTATCGATAACCTTTATAGCAACGGCACGTCCTGTTTTACGGTGAGCACCTCCGTAAACTATTCCAAATTGTCCTGATCCGAGAACTTCATCTGGGAAAATTTGATAAAGCTGCGACATGTCGGTTATGCGTTCTTCCGGTTCCAATGACTGTTCTTGATCTGTTAAGAAATACATACATTATAAATAATAACTACGAATAGTTACAATTTTAATATTTGAAGCACACATTTTTTCCAACATTATTTTTCCATTCCAGAAGCACAGAGACGACCGTACCTATATTGAAAAGTTAAAATCGTAGCTTTTGTAAAGAATATTATTTCAAAATTCAATTATATACAAATATTGGACTTATTGAATATAAAGTAAAAATTTCTCTATGGAATTTGCATTGACTCGATATTTAATTTTGTATTTAAAATGTACATACTTCCAAATGTCGAAGTAACCGGCATTAATGCCTGTCTGATGCTAGTTTCCCAAGATCTAGCTAAATACGCTCCAACACCACTTTCTGGCGGAGGAAGTTGTTCACCAGTTTCACCGTGCAATGGATCTTCTCCAACGTAATAATCTACGTTTGCAGTTCTTAATTCAAAACAATGCATTGTGCCTAAAAAATAAAAGTAGATACATTATTTTAAAAAAAATGTTTGGATGTTTTTTTACTGTTACAGGTGTTATCAAAATCTATAATGAAAAACTTTTGAAATTTATGGTAAAAATATTAAAATAAATAAGTAATAAGACAACAAAATCAAGGACAAAAATATGTCTTGTCATTCACTGCGTGTAAAAGAATCACAGTTTATAGACAGTGAATATACATATAAAATACTCACGGGAATGTAGAGATCTGGCAGTTTCAATGGCTAGAATTTCAGATAATGGAATTTCTTTGTAGTATTTAGAGCCACTATCACTTTGGAATAATGTTATGGACTTTGTGTCGAGCCGCCAATAGTACCGTTTTTTCTGAAAATATGAAGTTATATATATTATGAATCAATAAACGTAGTGAATAATACGATTTATCAGCATCACATACATAATATAAAACCAATTTAAATACAATATCGTAATTTTTAAACTTACTACTGGATCGCGATTAGTGCAATGTACCATCCAGCCTTCTTTTAACACTTTTGAACCCCGTCGTTTTGTGTGTTTGACGCTTTGAATTATTCGCATTAGTGGAATATTATTACTAGGCGATGAGCTGCAACTGCGTTATAAGTAGAATTAGAAACAGTTTTCAATGAAACGTGTATACCTAAGTTATAATTAATATTATACAGTGCGGTACAAGTGAATTATTATTACTGACCTTGATGGCCTGGATTTTTGAAGTTCATCAGATGAAACGCGTTCCCGACTTGGAATCAGATCCTAAACGTAAAATATATACGAAAATAAAAATAATGTAAGGATATAATCCGCATAGTTAAGATTCATGACAAATTTCCAATTGAAACCCACTATCGTATTAATATTGTACAAGAATTTATCTTTGCTACATGCATGAGTCATTGGTGACTCACCGATGACTTGTACAAAAAAACCAAATAAAAATGAACATGTATGTAAATTAGGAATGCAATAGAGAACAGGTTAAGGATAATAACCCTAGTAAGATCTAAAATTATAATATACCATTATTTGAGTAGGAAGCGTTACTTACCGAATAGCATCCATTTAAGCTATTCTCATTTTCATTATGTGAAGAATTTGATATCGGTGGCGGTGGTGATTCGGCATCGCTATCAGCATCACCTTCTTCATTTCTACCATCACATCTTCCATCGGTTTCACTACCAACGTCACTATCAGGGTACTCACTACCTACTATAATACATTTAATTTTTTAAAAGCTGTATAATTAAAATATACCAAATTGAGGGAAAAAAAAAGAATTTTAAGTCAGATATAAATGAACATTTTCAAATTAGTTTTACCTGGATTATCCTTGGTACTTTCTCCTGTACAATCTTTTGGAATTTTATCAATACATTTCTTGTGTGCGTTGTATTGACAGTCTTTACACTGTAAACCTTGCTTAAAAATCCCTCGTAACAATTTCTTACACAGACCACACACGGTTGGTCGAGTATAAGTATGTACAACGAATGTATGTGGAATCTTTATTCGGGTTGCTAATTCACGTTCTACCCAAACAGGACGGCCACCTAAAGAGGGGGAGCGCGATTGTTTTGGAGCTATTATGCTTGGAATTGCCTAAAAATGAAATAAATCAATGTAGAAGTGTAGAAATGATGTTTTTCGTATTTTTTATTCATATTTACCAATGTACTGTTATTGTGACTCGTATTTGGCGTGGTCATGCTATGGTTGTCATCACTAGCACTAGTCAGACTGCTAGTCGATCCCTGACTAGGAGATCGCGGAATGTTTAAAAGTGTTGAGCTGCGTCGTCTATTATTGGCATCTTGTGAGCAATTGTTAGGAATTTTTATTACACAACGTTTGTGATAATTCATTCCACAACCTTAAAATAACAAAACAAACAGTGGGATATATGGGATATTGTTTATAATAAAATACAATAATCACTTGAAAATAGCAATTAAAAATTTTCGTAATAGGTTTACGAATTTCATTTTTTGGATAAATATCTGTAGGAATATACCTTCACACTTAAGGCCCTGTCGAACAAGACCAAATAACATTTCTCCACAAAAGTCACAAAAAGTTGGTGCTTTATATGAATGAACGGCTAAAGCATGAGGTCGAATTGGAACTTCTTCACTTGGCACTTGTGCTAGAAGGAAACGATCGCGAATAAAAGCTTGAATAATACCTTATTATAATTTATTACCTCTTAATTAATACACATAATAGCACGTAGACAATATGAAATAAAATTTGAAAATAGTAAATTTGTATAATAAATTAAAAAATTTTCCCTGTTTTAATATAAAACTGACTAAATATTCATGCTTTGCATCGAAATCAGGGATATTAAAAAGGGAATGTGGAACTGGTCAACACTGATAATAGTCGGAAATAAATGTTTACATAATAGCAATTATCTGAATAATCTCTATTTATTATCAAACTTTGTCTGTGTATTATTTGGCCAGAATGTATCTCTCTGTATACTCTGAAATAATTCTCAGACATAGTTCTAAACTGTTTTAATTTTCATGTAAAGGAATTTGTGTATTAAACTGAAGAAAGTAAACCTCAGGATCTCAATCTAGAACATGAACATTAGAATACTATTAAATACAAAACAGTAGCTTACCACTCAGAACGATTTCAACTAAAGTTTCATCAATCACTTCCGTGGCATTGGTAATAAGTTGTAAAATATTAGTGGAATTATAATCATGCTTGAATAGCAGTAATCTATCATTCAACTGGCTTAAACCATGGTCCGGACATTTGGCGTTTATGAAATCACAGGCAAAATCCTTAAGGGCCTTTAATGTTAATGTGCTGGCATCAGCAGTTACAGTATCTCGTATCAAACCGAATTGAAAGAGAAATGTGACCTCTGGTCCCTCCATGATTACTCGTATCAGATCCACTGAAAAATATTTCAAATTAAAATAAGATAGATCTCTCTCACAACATTAAACTAAAAAAAAGTCCAGTTACTTCCTAGATTTCAAAAATTACAAAATTGATGTAACAGATAAAATGTAGTTTGAAACATTTCAAATAATAACATGATTGATATTTGCCAAAGTAACGAACCACTATTCCCGTTAATCATGAGATATTTTATGGTATCAGCTTTTTTCCACAAACAACATTGTGCTTAGTGTTTGGTTGATTTTACGTCATTGTTTCACACTGCGTGCTTTTATTTGTAATCGAATTATTTCAATGTTATAGACTGAATTAATTGCAATTTATATGAAAGTAATTCCAATTCATATTACATCACCTTGGTCCAAGTCTACGGAGATCCTTTTAGTAATCAGATAAATATTAATATCTTATTTCTTAAACCATTATAGTGAATTCAAGTGCAGGATGATTAAAAAACGACTATCGACGAATTAAAAATAGTGGTATGGTATTATTCATAACGAACGTTTCTTCCAAGTTGGTACAATTTCTTGGAGTCTTTAACGTACACTTTGTACGTGTAATCGTTACAAACAGATGATTTCATTTTCTATAATGAAAAGATCTCCGTAAAAAATTACCGTTAAGAAAATATACATGGCAAAGTTTTTCCTCCAAAGGTGTTGTATCATGATCTACACTTTCTCATTGATTTTAAAAAACGTATACACGTTATTTGAATGAAGTAATCAACCCTCGTCATTTTGCCCACTTGCCGGCGCGATGAATATCTTTTAGCAGATGAGAAAGACGTTTCAAGCGACAGACTGGGGTCGTGCGATCGGTACCAAAAATCGTGTAGAGTCCCACGAAGTCGAGAAAAATTGCTTTGACATACATTCCTCGACGATGACGTTTTACAGTTATGTACAGCAAGGCGGACCTACCTGGTTACTTTCGAAGTGCCACGAATCGCGGCTTCTTATCCACTTATCCGCTCGACATTACGAATCCTTTTGTAGTGTCCAGTGTCCCTGAGTGCCCTCATAGGCCCTGCACTCTCAGTAATCCGTTCCCGGACCTCGAGATACTCGGATATGTAAAAAAAAATTGGTTAACCAGACTTAGCGTGCCGTCGCCATACGTTTCGTTAAGAGCTGGCAATCTGTTAAACGGAGTTAAATGACAGTCGAGCACGGTCTGACAAGCCGGATAGGCCCGTGGTCTTTACCAACTTGTAGCCGTCTCATAGGATTGCCGCAGGATGAGCAGTGGGGGAGTAATCAAAAGACTGCTGACCTTACCCCGTATTCGGTGTCTCCGTTGCACTCATGGTTAAGTTGCCTGAGAGAGAGATAGAACGGTCACTCAATAGGTGGGCCGGAGATATCGCATTAGGTAACCTCGAAGTAAACTTATTTCGGCTTAGACCTCCCCCCCTTGTTTTGTGCTGCCATCTGGGAGAACGATCATTCGCGCGGCAATTGATTGATTCTTTAACTTGACATTTTAACGTTTTCAGATGAAATAAATATCATCGTGTTTTGTATATTATATTTCTTTGATACTCCGAAGACACGAAGGAGCGTATCATGATATAAAGAATGTAGAATTTCATGGAGTCTGGAAATTATTCAAATTGAAAGGGAGCTTTTGGTAATTAATCGTGATTTAGTTGTAAATGCCCGCGAATTCAGGATTTGGACCTTTGCAATCATCACAAACCACTTATTGAGTAACCATTGGATGTTTTGACAAAGGGAAGTCAGTGTGCTGCGAAATGAATGAACTGAAATATAATGGTGAATGATTACTGGTACAAAATATTCATTGTTCTTAGATTCATCCCATGATATACTTTAATTTTCTACACAATAGTACATAATAGCTACATTGCATAAACACCTCACAAATAATCTTTCCGTTAAGCATTCTCATTTTAAATTCTGTTAAAATGGAATAAATGTTTATACATTTACGTAGTATAAGATTTACATGGGAATATAGATTTAACTTTATTTGGTACTGAATTTTGCAGCTTCTTCAATGAACGTAGCTAATTTCACATCCCTCGTTGACAAACCATTCACATCGTGAGAAGATAAGGTAATTTGAACCTTATTATAAACATTAAACCATTCTGGATGATGATTCATTTTTTCTGCTTGCATTGCTACTCTGGTCATAAATCCAAAAGCTTCGTTGAAGTTATTAAAGAGAAACTCTTTGTAAATAGCATCTCTTGCCTCTTGAATGGACCATCCATTCGATAACAATGGTTTTAGTGTTTTCTCTCTTTCCTCTGCGCCCAATTTACTCTGAAAAGAATAAGTACTCAAGAACGGAGAAATATTGTGATATTTTACAGCTCTGAGTGTTGAAGTCAAATCGATAATGTCCTTGCTGAGTGAAAGAATGTAATTTTCTTCAAGGACTTGTTGCAGTTTATATTTCATCTCAAATTAATGATATTTATAATAGTATTAAGATTTAATATGGTTCCAAACTTTTGTATGCATTCTGTAATTTTCATTTTAAACAAATTAAGCGGTTATACATTAAAAGAAGGAAATCAAAATTGTACGGGACTGTGTCGATTGCACAATTTCACTGTTAGAATTACTCCACCTGCATACTGTTCTGCTCTTGAATTTTCATAATGTCATTAATTCACGCGTAGGAAAATATTTTCTTAAATGTTTCATTGATTTTTAGTGCAGAAATTCATTAAATTAACAATTACTTACCATTTTCTTCTTTGCAGTAGCAACAGATGTCTGCCAGCGCTGAGCGGTATGAAAGATCTGTGCGCGAATTCCCCCTCCATGATAAAGCTTAGTCAGTATGGCCACCATACTTATGACTTATCTCCTGTTTTTGCGTCAAATATAAGGTAATCTAAGTACGGTTCGATCACACTAACAACTCAGTGAAGTAATGTTAAAAGTTGATGGCTTGGTTACAGGAAAATTACCGTACATACAGACCACAATACATCCAAAGCACAAGGTTAACTTATTGGTGAGATCGTCACTATGTGTGTATTGATATCATTCTTTTGCAATTTCATGGAGCTTGGAAATTAAATAAATGTTTCATCATATCAGAGGAAACCTTCCGATATATCCTTTTTTACGTATATTCTGTAATCAATCTTGACTCACCGGTACGGCGTCTCTGACATGTTCCTTTTAAAAAAGCGAGGTTAAGTAAAGTAAGTTAAGATGGCAGGACAACTGTTTGGAAGAGATATTCGTTTTAAGATATAAAAATAACTATTGGAATTAAATTGAATAAAAAGTGAGATTTTGTAGTAAATTATTTTCTATGTAAAATTTTTTTTTAAATGAATCAATTGGTACTGTATTAAATTAAATGACAATCATTTTTTTCATGAATGATTTAAAATTTTATTGTTGGTTTTTATGTAACTGATATAATATAATGGGAAGTACTTGGTAAGTGGGAATAGTAGAAGGAAGATAAAAGGCATTTCTGTAAAGGTCATTAAAATAGATAGAAAATATTTTATTAGAAATACCAGTCACACATTTTTATTACTTTGTAAAATTCATTTTCTTCTACTTTTTTTAGCGACAGCTGATGTAACAGGTAGAGGAATTTTAAGAATAACTATTTTTTTATTACCTTTTAACGGTACAGCACCAATAATTTTTGAAAGGTCCTGTAACTTTTTCAGTCCTATTTTGTTATGAAACAGTGTTGAGAATAAATCCAAATCTAAGGTAAAACGTGATATAATCAGAGCTAGTATTATACAGTGTATAACACCTTTGTCCCTCATACTAGCAGGTCGCTGCCTGGAAACACAAGCGTGATATAAAGTTTAGTTTCATGCATTTAAAATAATATATTTGGACTACATATTTGTTAAAATGTTGGTGAAACATTGATTCATTAATTTTTCCTTTTTGAATACAGAAAAGACAATTACATTATACTAAAATGCATAATTTTATTCTATGTATTATAGCTGTTACTGTTTTCTATGCAAAATAAATGACCTACCTTCCATTGGCACTTGGCAAACTGTAGGTTTCAATAACGTGATTGTTAACTTCTCTTGAAAACGGACATATTTCTATGCCTTTCTTTTTGGCATCCTTTATTAGCATTTTAAGCCATTCACTAACAGCTTCCATATACAATAGCACTGCAACTTTTTTAACATTTTTTGTAGTCGTTTTCAAATCTTCTAAAGTTTTCATGAAGTATTCCGATCTTCTAAATGGATTTTAAGATATATTAGTATTTAAGAAATATTCTGCAAAAAGGATCATATAAGAACAATTTTATTTACCCTGTTCCTGGATCTTCTAGAATCTGTTTAGCTTCAGAATATAATGTTTTTAATGTTGCTTTAGGAACAATTTCATACATATTATAAACATCCGCAACATCTGAAGCTTCTCTGTTAGGCTCTGGAAAACTGGTGTTCCCAGTTAGTGAACTCTCATTCAATTTAAATGACAGATCATTTCGTTCAATTTCAATTCCTGAAATTGATATGGAATGTATGTTATTAAGTTATTAATTAAAAAACTTTGTCATTATAGAAGAAAATATAGTTATGTTATAAGCAACTCAGAGCATAATTGAACAAAAAATATGAATTAATTACTCAAAAACCTGGTCAGTGCAATTTTATTTGATTAACTTTTTGACATATAATGACGTCTGGGAGACATCATTCATTTCATGTGCCGTTGTAGACTTTGACATCTCTGAGACGTCAAGAACTATCTCCAGCCAAATTAAATATTTTTTGGATGCATCAAATTTTGTTTTATTTGTATATCAAGAGATTAAGTCAAATTTGGTAATAATCATATTTATAAGTGATAACATAAAACATGTGAAAAGAATGTGTTATTTGTGATAATAAATGAAATAAATTACAAAAAAAAGCATACTTACTAGATACACTCTCCTCTAGCCGGTCTTTAACTGAATCAACATTGACTTTCATCCTCTCAAACTGTTCTGTCCTGCGTTTTACTCTTTTCGATCCAAATTGTTTATTTAACATTGCGATTTTATCAGTATTCGTATCTTCTACAATTTCTAATTTTGTATCAAGTACAGGTACAACCTGCCATCGTTCTGCCTGAACCAACCTAATCTTTCCTGTTTTTTTATTATGTATAGCAAGCATTGTATAAGTTAACTCTTTATCGACATTGGGTTTATAACCTTTATACACAACTTGTCCATTGGATAAAGCTAATGTCGTTTTCTTTTTCCTTTCATCATAAAATAAATTGCAATCCATATTTTCTGCTTCCTCATCTTTTAATTCTCCATTCTGAAAATTAACTGCAACACAGTTGTAAATCAGTTAATTTGTATTTAATATAAGTTCATTTTGTACTCAAATGTATTTATTTCAGTACATCACCTATTATAGGTTGAATTTTGTTCGGTTCCATAATTACATCTTCTATTACGGCTTCAAGTAGGTGCTTCATTTTGCTATAATACAGTTAATAAGTAGATCTTTGAATTATCTCACTCAACGCACCACGACATTGAGCACGAGTTTTTAGGTATTCCTAACCTTTTTCGATGTTTACAAGCACATACTACTTAATGATTTAGAGATTCTCACGGGAGCTCAAACTATAAGAACGTTTGACGCTGAATAATTAGTACGTTGTCAACTGACAGTGGCGCTGTAATCGTTCTTCGTCAATCACGTATCATGAGGTAGCCAAAAGAGATATTGCGGAAATCGCATGTATGCATTTAAAACCAATTTAAATCATTAAACCTTGGAAAAAAACGGATCCTTCTAATAAAGATGATCCACCTATACCTGGAAAGGCGCACAAAAGGAGAGACAAAACAGAACATTAAAAAAAAAGCCCAGGAAGTCTGAGATTAGACAGCGAATAAGTTACTAAAAGTCAAGCATATTAATGGTATACAATTCGGCTCAATATTCACTTTCGCCAATTGTTTGAAAATATGATTGAATTTTCATGCAGCCAATAGAAACGGTTTCTATGTCTTCTTTCTACCAATAGCAGAAACTCAGTGCTCTCAAAGCAATCATGCGCTTTGAGTATATCAAGATGGCGCAGCGACGTGATATATTCATCTACAATAAATTTGTTTAGCGCGTCATTTTTCAAATAATTGAAATGAATCAATTTAAAGTTAGAGTTTTAAAAAATGAATTATAGTATTTCAGTTGCAAAAGATTAAGAAATTATTACTTATTTGTCTTGCTCATTTTTACCACCAGGGGGCATTTCGATGTAAGAGCGTCGGTCTAGTGACGCGTCGAGTCCTGCGTCTCGTCACGTTCACTACGTATTGATATACTTGATATTCTCATCTTTGGAGTGCTACGTTGAGAATTGCCCAGTGGTTTGCAATCTATCATGAAGAAGTAAATGGCGCGTTGGTACTTCGAACGGGAACACCTGGATGCTGCTTTCTACGCTGCCAATCGCCCGCATTAAAAAACAAAATCTTCAAGTCAGTGCTGACAACATTTTATGCCTTTACTTTATGCTCTCTTGTCGATAGAAGAGATTTGTTTGCTGTTAACTTTCCTCGTACTATGATATTTTTAGGTTATCAGACTCCAGCGGTTATTTCTCGGTTGGCCTTATGAAACGACTCCTAGTCTCGTGTTACATATATGATTGCCTTTATCTTTATTTTACAATGTTATTTCATTGCCAATTGAACAATATCGCACATCATGCTTAATGGCAATTGCTGATTAGGATTTTACATTTAGTACAGTAGCTATGGGAACTATTGCAAAGTGTCTTTGACATAAAATAGAACATTATGTAAGGGTTTATCGCAACATAGGCTCGCCTGGTATGCGATAACAAATATTTATGCTATTATGGCTTTTACATTGAGTGAGCTATGGTACTTGACCGCACAGAAGTTGTAATGGAATATGTTTGGTTTTGATATTGTATGCGTACATCTTTCTGCTATTTTCTTGGTATCATTATGAATTATTTGATTTCGGAGTAAATGAGTTAGTATATTTGTTTTGGATTTAATATATTAATATTAGTTTTACAAATATAATCGTTTTTGCGTTTTAAACAAATTTTTTAATGTTTAGTTCAAATAGTACGTAAGAGGAATAAATGTTTTTTTTTTATACTAAAATGTATCGGTATGTTAAATTGTTTAGTTTTGATTGTAAAGGAGCTTTTATTTTCAGCTCCTGCAAAAATGACGGCGGATTCTGAAAAAGATAATATTCACTGCTTGATATGCAATAGTAAAGTTGGAGTGTCTACTAGAAATAGTGTACGCATTTTCAGCGAGAGCTCGGTTACTCAGTCTGACAAACCGCTTATTGATACAATATGTACGGTACTTGATTTAGAGTTAAACGAAGAGAATGTGCACTCTCTCGTTGTATGTAAGAAGTGCTTTAAGCTATTTAACGAGGTACATTGGTAATTTTTTTCAATCCAGAAACGCTTTTATATAACATACTTTTGTATGACAATTTACTGCTTTTAGATCGATGAATTAGAAACTAGATTGGCAGAAATCAAATTAGAAATTTACACGAACTATAAAAGAACAATAAAAAAAATTGTCCTTCAAGATGACGAGGATTACAATGATCATGATTATATAGATAATTCAGAAAGCGTGCCATCAGAATCTTCAATGACCAAATATAATCAGAAACCTAGGAAGAAAGTAATAGGTATTACAACCTCATTTGATTCAGAAAATGCTGATGAGGTGAGTCGCAACATAAGTTAAAATAATTGTGATGTTAAATCATATTAATTCAATGTATTGGGTGAGAATTAAACAAATTATTGGTCGTAGGAGGAACAGAATCAGGATGATAACGAAACTGAAAATGAAACAGAGAACAAAGGATTCACTGATGATTCAGACCAAATTCTTATTAAGGTTGAATCAATCTTAGATTCAAAAGATTCTGATGGAAAGATTAAGCGTGGAAAAGTAACCGTGAAAATGGAGAGTTCGCAGGAACAAGTGAGTAAAGTGGTTATACATGCATTGTTCATGTACAATATTTTACGTTCATTTATCTACTTTGTCTATAAATAAAAAAAATATTTAGGTTGTAGCTAGGGATGGGGCTGTATATACATGCTTGCTATGTCCTGAGGATGAAGAGAGAGGAATGGGTGATGCAAAAACGATTATAATGCACTTAAAATCTGAACATGAGGTTCGGCTGTATATTTGTGATATATGTGGCATGGATTTTAGAAAAAGGACCGAACTATCTGTCCACCTTGATGATCATGTTGCGAAAGAGGAAGGCGATTTTCAATGTGAAATTTGTAACAGAATATTTAGTAATTTAAGATTATTTAGAATTCACAAGCGAATACATTATCCACAATCAAAATCATGGCCGTGTGAAACTTGTGGTAAAAGATACAGGTATGTAAAAAGGTGTAGCACTTTAGAAATGTGGTTATTTTACACATTTTAAGAGAACGTTAAATTAGGTTTTTATAAATACATTTATTTCCAATATTTTGGACTTCAGTTCTAGGAATTTATTAGAGGAGCACATCAATACCCACACTGGTGTTCGGCCCTATGCTTGTGAAACTTGTGGAAAAGATTTTGCTTCAAAATATACATTTAAAGCACATATGAAAACGCACGAAGTTCGACCACGTCCTTTTGAATGTTCGCAGTGTAATAAAACGTTCCTCAGTCAGCAGAATCTTAATCAGCATGAAAAAACTCATAATGGTGTCAAAGAGTATGTGTGCCATCAGTGTGGTACGTTTTACTTATTCAGCATATTTTATCTTGGATATCTATAATTTTAAGATTATTTGCGTTTATTAACAAGGTTTTAGTATAAATTTAAGCATTATTAATTGCTTATCTTGTATGAATAGATACGGAAACATAATTGTAAAGAAAAATTGACGATATACTTTTGTAAAATTACCAGGAAAGGCATTTGGTTCTCCACACAATTTGGAAGTCCATAATATTGTACACAGTGGGTACAAACCATTTATATGTCGTGTCTGTGGTAAAGCTTTCGCACGAAAAGCGGAAATAAGAGATCACGAAAGAACACATACGGGAGAAAAGCCGTATCAGTGTGAATTTTGCGGGGCTACTTTTAGGTGTGTAAAGAGTCGAATTAGTTCTGTTGTTTTCTGTTTAACTCGCGTGAACAATTGATTACACTTTTCAGTCAGAGATCAAACCTGCAGTCTCATAAGCGGGCCACGCATTACAATGATAAAAGATATAAATGTGATGATTGCGGAAAAGGATTTAAGAGGCGAAGACTTTTGGATTATCACATAAAAGCTGCTCATACAGGCGAGAGGCCATTTAAGTGCGAAACATGCACAGCCACGTTCGTTTATCCCGAACACTTCAAGAAACACATGCGCATTCATACCGGTGAAAAACCGTATCTTTGCGAGGTAGATAATTCTTCAAGAGTTTACGGGGGAAAAAAAATCATGACATTGATATAAATTGCATGACAATATGTGATGTTAGTAAATTATTTATGGACTGAGGCTTTCTTTTTAAAGGTTTGTGGAAAAGCGTTTAATAGTCGTGACAATAGAAACGCTCATCGATTTATTCATAGTGATAAAAAACCGTATGAATGTTTGGTTTGCGGTATGGGATTCATGAGGAAGCCACTGTTATATGCGCACATGCAAACGCAGGTAAACGAAATGACATAATGATGTTGATATATATATATTAACAATATGCACAATTATTTCATATACTTGATTATATAACATGGGAGGTATAATATCTACGTATGCAATAGAGTAACATTAACAAGATAATCAAATGCCATTAAAGATTTAAAAACAGTTCTTGTTTTTCTTTACAACAGGGGCATTTAAATGATACAATAGTCGTAAATCAGCCTCGATTAACAACGGAGGAGGACCAAGTTATAAGCATTCCAGATAACAATGTAGAACTGTTGATGGAGGGAGCAGAGAATGAACAAGTAACTAAGTTATTAGTCACAAAAACATATAACGTACAGGGTGTATCGTTTAAGATTTCATGAAATTTTGACTTGCCGTGAAGAATCTATTTCATTTCTAGCTGGAAGAGACAGAATTATATATAGCTGAATTAAAAGATCATGTGATCGTTCAACAAGATGATCAAATATATCAGGAAGAAGGAGTATTAGATATGCCTACCGAAGAGACTATAACAGACGAGGTAGTGGAACATTTAGTTGTGGATGGCCAGGTAATAAATAATTTACACGAATCACGGGGTCAAATTTGTTAAGAGAGAAACGTAAGAGTGATGTTAAGTTTATAATCTACTGGGTTTATTAATGATTGCACTATGTAACGAAATTGCTTCGTAGATCAATTTTACTGGCACCGAAGTCATGGAATGCAAACCCGATGATTCAGAGCACGTTGAAGAAGTATACAGTTACAATGACAGCGAAGAAAGCGAGACAGTAGTTGTACCGGCTACATCGGACTACAAGGAAATAGTTGGAGATTCGCAAAAGGCAGTACGATTAGTTCAAATCAGAATACCTTCTTCCTCTACAGGTGAAGGTAGAAGCTGGTTGAATTTAGTACAAAACACGTGAATCTGTACATAACGTAAAACTGCTTAACACCTCTCGCTATCAATTTGTTGGTTGTATGCATAAGTTCAACGTGCATCCTTTCATGTAATATTGTTAAGGGTCCTTGATAGTAAAACCGGTGAGCTGAGTCGATCGTCGCGCCTCTTTACCGAATTAAAGGAATTTTTTAATCAGATCATTTACTTTATCGATTCTGTTGATCGCTGAATTACCATATTGCCACACGGTATGGCAATATCGCCATCGCCAATAATGGCCGTACGGCTATGATTGGCTACATTATTCACTACGAAGTGTAATCAACAAACGTGTATGGTCGTTATTTCCATGTTGTCGCTTGACTCCTTTATCGGTACCATAGTTTATCGATCTATTGAATAGACATTAATGCATTCGATTAATAAACGTAATTTGTAATGAAATATGAATTCTGCGCTGTACCGATTATGTTGAGACGATAACAGATGTTTTTAAGTAAATATATCATATACTATAATAATTATTTCCCTAATTATTAAACTTACGGATTAATGGAAGTTAATTCAGGATTGTAGGATTTATACAAAGAAAATTGATTCTATTACAGTTTGATAAGTTACTCTTTAATGAACTGGTCTTTCTGGGATGCTTCCTATTGCAGGTAGTAGTTTCCCATGGTTGTTCGTCAGACTGCCGGTAAATCCTTGAAATATCTGCTGTCGGTATCTGAAATCTGCTTGATTAACAGTTTGAATTTCCAGCAGATGCTCGAATACGGGTTGTCGAAGAGATAATAGATTGAATAGTCTTCACAACCTCGTGAAGATGTCAGGAAGCGTTTAATTCAAATACAGTGTGATCGAATCCCGCTCGCAATGATGGTCTGAAATACGAACCCACAAATGCAATAGCAAGTTACATTGGTAAGAAAGCGGTTCCGGTCGAAAGTTTTTTTCTAAGCCACTTTACTCAAATTGTAGGTACTGACTTATGCCGTGCTTTCAGGAAAAGTTCGGAGGGCTCTTGCTTCCGCTGCATTCCGACCGCAACAGGCTTTTACCGGCTGTTTGCGAGAAAAAGTTAATTCACCCCCAGATAAAACTTTTGCCACCGGAGTAATTTGAACGTGAATTACAGCGAAAGTTTCGTGTTAACACCGTCACGAAATTAAGGTACTAACTATTTTTCGAGTTCGGAATTCAAATATTAACAGCATCGAAATGAATCACCGTGAAGGGAGTTTATCTCACTCGTATTCATATATTGTCTGTACACCAAATTTTTCATAATTATGCTTCAGAACAATGAAGAGGAGTATACAGGTGCCAATTACATTTTTTATGAATAAAGTTCTTAATTTTTAATTAATAGAGCTCTGAGTCATCCTTCTGGTTTATAGTTATGCATAAATATGTGATATACTAAGATTTAACGTAGTTTATGATCTTCATCTTTTCCTTTTTACTTTGTTTTAGAGTTATTACGGCTAACATACGGAATAGTTTTCATAACCGGCTCTCCGTCGTTTTCTTCAACGAGCCAATCAAATTGCGGCAGGTGAATGAAACCACGTTCAATTAAGAACCGTTTCCGGTTTAATGGAGAATCTTTGCATTAGCCTGAAATGGGTAATAAAGCCGCGCTAAGCGTCCATACGACAATACGCGCTCCTCCTGCTCTTCTATGCCCGGAGCGCGTGTGACAAATGACGGGAAATCAAGCGACCGGAATACTCCATTCAGCGATTAATTGTTACGTCATTACAGCTTCAGGCGTCAGAGCGCTTTGTGCGGTTCCATAAGTTAAATTGAGCGTGAATAATGTCCAAACCCGCGAATTTCTGCGCGACGAATTCCCATCTTAAAGCGTGCCCCCGATTTTAGAGCGGATATTTAGGTTTCACGGTGCACTTTACGACCGATCTTTCATAGACGGTCGAGAAGTACGCGTAGTGGGTCTGTAAATTAACAAAAAACTTTATGCCATTAAAATAGTAATTGCTTGTGTCCTAACTCGCAAATTTCCCCTAGATGAGGACCCACTTCGCCTTACTGGAGCTCCAATTTTGAGGCGAAACAGCGGATTTCACAGCCATATAGTGGCAAAAATAGGTCGCATAGAATTAAAATATCCGGACTGGAAAAACAATCCGATACAAATAAAATATCCCTTTACGGACTATTTTTCGAATCCGGATTTAGCCGCTTGTAGAGATTTCCATCCAACCTGCTTTTATCAACACGATGAGCTGTACGAACGTCACCTGATTGAGACAAATCACTGTTCCATTGTCGCATTGTTACGGTAATTGATAGAATAATAAATAAATAAATATATATATATTAATTTATTTATTATTCTATCAATTACCGTAACAATGCGACAGTTGAACAATGATTTGTCTGTGATATATATACATTATGTTGACCGTTGTGCCGTATGTAACTGGAATGAACGATATGGTTAAATTTTGCAGGCTTCCAAGCAGAGTAGGATTATTCGAAGCATTAATATGATATGAAAGGCGCCGAGAAATTTAATCGACGTCGATAAATTAACATTCATCTATATCCTTTTTGATGGTAATGCCATTCCGAATACTTGAGTAGTAATATAAGCTGGGGCGTCATGTTTCCAACATTCATATTTATGTTGAAGTCTTTTACAGTCTACGTTGAGAATTATACGACCTGAAAGGTTCCATATGTCATTTCGGTGAAGTAATGATGAAGAGATCGATGTAAAACTGTCGAAATCCCGGGAGTTCATTATTCTAACGACTGTTTACGACCAATGTCGCCATCTGTGACGTTTAGTTGTAACTAAATTTACGCTCTAAAAACACGTGTTAATCACTAGGCAAGCCAGCATTCTCTTGCAATCGTTGGTGAAAGTATTTTCCATATTTTCCCATTTGACTCTGTAATATTCCATTTCTCCGGTATTCTAAATTGTTCGAGGTAGAAACTCTTCATTTTCGATTCTAGCCTCCAAGAAGCGTAAAACATCGAAAACGTGCACCGGCCACGCCATGTTGGTTCTAGTCCATGATAAGTAAATAAATGTTTGATGAAATATGAAATTTCGTGAGCTTCACGACCTACTTTAGGGCTTCCGTATTCCCGTGGTAAAACTTGAAACGAATCGGTGCACTCAATTCGAAGAATACTTTCACCAACAATTGGACCTTTCAGGTATATATAGGCTGATTCTTTCACATTACCTTATGGCTCGTGAGAACTTCATCTGTAAACGAGAAATATTTAAAGGAAAATGAGTGCTTAAAAAAAATAACCCTGCCTCCAGCGTTCGGTCGTCAGGAGAGGTATTCAGGGAAAGCGTTCGTCCACTTTCCGGGGGCACTCGCGAGAGTCCTCTTTGTAAGTAAACGATTTCATCCTACATTTTCACACTCCGCGGCTCCTTAATGGAAGGCTCAAGGCATCGGTCATTAATTTTCCTTAAACAAAGATTAGTACGGAGGAGTACGATGAAACGGCGTAATGTCTATTATTTCCAGGCGCTTAAATGTTCATTCACTGGACTCTTGGAGCATTTACCAAGGGCGCTCGTCGCAAGCTGCAATCTAGGCAAGAGGCATCACCGCTTTCATACTTATCAAGCGCGGCACTAAACCGGAGATAAAAGTGTCTTTTAAGGACAAAAGTACGAAGGTCCGACGTCCACTTCCGGCCCCAGCTATTCCCTACCTTCATGAGAAATGCAGGGCTCCTCTTGGTAGCCCGTAGCCCAATTTCGATGCTGCGATTTCCAAATGCTGGAGTCGGGCGAGATCGGGGCTTTCCCACATCAATGAATTAATCGCAGTTCTAATTGAATTGCGTTGTTTAGCGAACCGCGATTCTCGAACGCGAAGCGCTCGTCCGCGCGTTGATCTCCATTTTACTTGGATGGTTCTTATCTTCGTATGGTTCCCGCGATTAATTATTCAGGGTCACGGAGAATTTCTCAGGGTCTGCTGACCGCACTAGGGGGCAGGAATACCTCATTTTCGTCTTGGCCACTTAAATGAAAATCCTGCCAAGCTGTAGGTGGCTCTTAAAAAGGGAGCAATAATTACAACAATAGGATCAACGAAGGCGGTGAATCAGGAGAGAGTAGTCGAGGGTGGAACTAAGTTTGTAGAGTCATTATATTTCGCAACTCGTTAGGAATTTCGGTGTTCCAAGCAATGATTATGTCTATCGAGGCATTATATAGGTAACCGAGAAATTAAATTGACGCCGACAAAATAGAATTCATCTATACCCTTTTTGGTGGTAATGCCGGTTTGAATATTCAAGTGGTAACATAAGCTGGCGCGTCCCATTATCAACATTTATATTTATGTTGAAGTGTTTTACGGTCTACGTTGAGAACTATACGAACTGAAGCGTTCCATATGTCATTTCGGTAAAGTAATGATGAAGAGATCGATGTAACTGTCGAAATTCCATGAATTTGTGACTGTTTATATCTTGACGGACCATCGCCGTCTGTGGTGTTTAGCTGCAACTTAATTTTTGCTCTAAAAACACGTGTTAGCCGCGGGACAAGTCTGCATTTTCTTGCGATCGCTGGTGGAAGTATTTTCCATAATTTCCCATCTGACTCTGTAATATTCCAATTCTACGGTATTCCAAATTATTCGAGCTAGATCTCGAAACGCTCAAGCGACAGATTTTTCAAGATTTCTTGTAGATTTCATTCGAAGATATCTGAATTATTTGTTGAAAGTCTCAATGACATATTTAGTATCAATAATTTATAAACATATAGAGAAATATTTTTGAACTTATTAACATAATAAAAATACATTTTTTTACTTCACGGCTATTGCCGGACACTTCATTTGGTATCAAAAAACACGAGAAACTTTTCTAATATTTTCGTTCCGCTGTCTTATTATGGGAGCAAAACGTGTGATTTTGATTTTAAATATTTTTAAAACGTTTATAATGTATTCGGAAGATAATATTTAAAAAATACTTGTATTAAAATGAAACGAAATGTTCCGTATATCTGGTAGAAAAATATGATGAAAACACATGGAGCTAATATTATATAAACATTATAGAGATAATACTCTAAAGTAAAGGTTTTGCAAATATATCAAATGTCTGGTAAATATTTACAAAATGTACGATATTCGTTAAATGTGTAGAAAATATAGGACTGATATTTTGTGCTACTAGGGTATTCTCCATTTCCTTTTGACACGGCCTGTAGCTAAGTCATATTTATCATTCGCTGGAGTCACGGCTTGCATTCTCGGGAGTGCTCTAATTTTCTGCCGGCATTTTCAACGAAATCTGATCTCTTTTACTTTTACCTGTTTCATGGATCATTCCGAGAGGAAGAGCAAGGCACTCCGAGCCGGGGCGCGATTATTACGGTGATTTCTGGAACTACGGTAACTTCGAGTTTCTCGGCTCGAACGAGCTTTAAGGCTTAACGGGCGTAGTCGTAACGCACGGGGCTGCACTTTCGACGTAAACGTGTTAATTACGCGTAACGATTCCGCGGACGAAACCCTATGTACAGTACGTACCGCGTATTACGTAGGTGCTCGAACTGCTCTACTCGGTTTCAAACTAAGGACCCCCAGTTTTTATTTCACGAGCTAGTGCTAAAGCTTGTCGCATTGTCCTGGGGCGATATTAATGATCCTTTATGAGGACCGCGATAATGAATCATGGCGGACGTCGAGAAGGAGTTAAACACGGGCCTGATTAAGAGGGACCGATTGAAAAAGCTGTTTTCTCCTAACTTTGTCTGTCTTATATTGTGGCGATCTCTTCGTTGGTCGTCTACATGCGGAAACATACGTTTTACACCTAAGATCGTTACCGTACAAATTTTGGATGTTTGTGATTCAATTAACTTGTACGTGACTGTAGTTGCGCTTCCTTGAATTCTTAGGTTTGTTCGCGTTGACTGGAGTTTCTACACTCGAGGGTAACGAGGGTACTACACTTTTATTCAAAAGTGCAGAAGGGTAGATACACTTTCGTCGACGTCTCGAACGCTAGAAACCTAACGAAAGTTCAAGATGACCGATTTAGTAGAGAGGTACGCGATTTTGAGGTTATGTGTATCGGACGATGATGAATCCGAAAATGCTAACGTAATGCTTCTTCCTGCCTTCCTTCTTAAGCTGTCTTCGTTTTCTTCAGATCCTACAATCCGTTCTATTACCTTGTAATTGTAGAAGATGTAAATTCCTTTCACGAATTTCAGGTATTGAGGATTAATAAGGGTCAGAATATTATTCCAGTAGAATGAAAAACAATTTAACTACAACAGTGAAAAAATATAGTTTAGTTCATTCCAACGTTAGGTAGTAATACATAATTATTATACATTTTTTCAAACATGTACAAACCTAAAACGCTAAATCGTTCTATACACGATGAAGATGCATTAGTAATTACTTCTGTTTATATTACGTTGAGACGTTAGCATAAATGTTGTATTTTCCTGTTTGTTGTTCTTTTCAATTTTGAAATTTGCCGCTAAATTTGCGGGCTATCCTTCTTGTCCTTGCTCGGGAT